TTAAAAAACCATTCTTACTCTCCCTTTTCAGCAACTCTCCATGTCTTCTAATATTATTACTGTAAAATTTGATAGAAAGGCAGTGAAATAAGTATATTCTAAATCTAACCTGGAAAGAACATGCAGAACAATCAACTTTAAATGTATGAACTATCAGCAAAGACTTTGAGCTAAAAGGAGAAACATTTCATCTGGAAAATGTTTTGAAACTGTACCTCATGAGTCATCTCATTTTTTTCCAGCGGTGATGCAGCTAGCAGCATAAATCATACCATAAATAAAAATACACATTATCCTTGTTTCCCCTGTTGTATTTTATTTCACACAGGTTGTTATGATGGCTTAGTGTATGTGCTTCAAAGCAGTGATGGGGAAATACACTGGACTTTTGTCACAGAAGATACTGTGAAAAGCTCTGCAGTTGTAGACCCTTCCAGTGGACTAGTCTACATAGGATCACATGACCAACATGTATATGCTTTGGATATTTATGTAAGAATCCTGAGTAACGTTTATGTATAGAAGAATAAATATCCAACTTAGACCCTGTTTGTAGTACACTGCATGAAGCTTCACTGGTGTTAGTATTCTCAGGAGTCCAGAATTATGCTTTTGAAATAGTTAGGACTGTTTGAAGTGGGGTTAGGATTATGTGGTAGTAAATAGTTTTAGTGGGGTTCTCAGCTGTGGTTCTTGTGCTACTAGTCCTGGTTGAAACAAAATCTTAAGTTTCTTAGTTATTAAATTTTCTGTGAGTGTTTCAGAATAGGGTGCCCAGCTAGAAATAAAATTATGGCTTAATGGTGGAGAGAGAATCTTACATTCTAAAAGAGCAGATGAACGGAGATGGAAAATAAGAGGGGCAGATACTGTCCCTTCATTAGCTGAATTTCTTTTATTGACTGGAAGAGAAAGTAGCCAATGGCATATGTGTTGCTATAATAGCATGTAAATATATCTTCACTTCTTAACTAGTATTTGCTGAGTAAATGCGGTGTTTGATAAGCTTTGACATTCGAAAATCTTTGTAAATGTGATGAGCTTTAACTTAAACTGAATTTTTTTTTATCTTTTTTCTTGTGCTTACAGAAAAAGGCATGTATATGGAAGTTACATTGCGAAGGTGGAGCTGTGTTTTCATCTCCTTGTCTAAGTTCTTTTCCACATCATCTTTACGTTGCTACACTAGGAGGACTACTATTGGCTGTAAACCCAGTATGTACCTTTGCTTATTTGTCTTTGATCCCAATCTCAGATTTAAATGAAACCAAAATGCATTTCTGAAGTTAAGATCACTTTACTGATGAAAGGAACTAGATGATCATATGTTACCATAAGATAGTTTTCACTCGAGGGCCTTATTATACACAAGTTTACCATAATAATTCCTGTATTTCAGAAAGCTATCTGGTGATAAAGAGAACTGAAATGACTTGCTTGAATTTACATGCTGACTGTAGGCCAGAGTTGGAATCAGTGTCTTCTCATTCCCATATACTACCTTATCAGTTAAACTAGTGAGTGAGAGAATGTCTGTAAATTTCCCCCACCTCTCCTTTGACAGTAGGATTAGGAAAAAAAACCACACAGAACTTACTGATACCAGAACAGAATAGAGAAAGAAGCCCCTTCATTCCTCTTACTGTTTCCCTCCCCATAGTCATTTATAGAGCTGTCCCCCTTCATCTTGGACTGGTGTTCTGTTCTCTGCACTGAGGAAATGGTATTCTTGATAGATGTGGAGCAATTTCATGGTTTTCTGAGGCATTGTTGGCTCACAGCTGGTCCTGCCTGATAAAAGGAACAGTCACTTGGAGCAGCTGTTCATGTTTTTGTACTCACACAACCCAGAGCATCAGTCCTAACCATCTTTACCTCCCACCCACTACAAGTTTCCTCAGTAATACCCAACCTGGTGTTAGAAGACGAGTGTACGGTTTTGCAGCTCTAGTGGGCTGTGGTTAAGAAAAACCAGATTATTTTCTTTTTTGCGTAATCCTGAGTAACAGGTAGTTGAGAAACCCAGCTGTAACTCCAAGTAATTATTTATAAAAATAGGAATGTGCAGGCTACATTAGGAGCTTATTGTGACAATCATAGATTGTGGGTTGCAGCATTTCCTACAGTATTTATAGTTTATGACATAATCAATATGACTTGCTTTCAGGATATCCTCTCCTTCATTGGTCCTCATCACATACTGAAGAGCTGGGAATGGAATAAAAAAAGAATCTGTCATTTATTAAAACTACTGCTACTACTACTACACTATTACCATTATTATTTTGCATAGGGCGAGGAGGAGAAGGGTGGAACAGGGGTATTGAGTATCCAGGGAAAACACTAAACATTTTGTTGGAATTAGATTTGTAGAGTAGTTTTGCTTCTGGTATGCATTCTGGATGGGAAAAGCCTGCTTTTCTTTGCTGCCTGCCTTTCCCCCCCCCCCCCCAGTCATTATGGGCTGGGTCAAGCTGTGAGGGAAGGGTTGTTTTGTGCAGCTTCTTACAGTTGTGTTAAGCATCAGATATTCCACGCTGCCATTTACAGGTGACGGGGAATAAGATTTGGAAAAGCTTCCTGGGAAAACCACTCTTCTCCTCTCCTCACTGCAATGAGAAGTACATTTGTGTTGGGTGTGTGGATGGAAACTTATATTGTTACACTCATTCTGGAGAAAAGGTAAAAGTGGTGGTGTTGGGTTTTTCTATGTTCATCACAAAACCCTGAATAAGATGCTTCATTAATGCTGTTTTCTGAGGTTTAATCATTAACAGATAACTTTTTGTGAACCAAATAAAGTGTCTGTTTATTGTTATAGAGAGGAGAAAGTAGAAAAAACTGTTTGTCTAGGATAGTCCGTGCAGTTCGTGGCAAAACCACAAAATCTCAAGTTGCTTGATGCAGTAACAGAATTTCTAGTTCAGAGCTCACGCCCAAAGTAAATGGTCAAGAGTAGTGCCAGCAAATGAAATGGTATGGTTTTGGTTTTGGAGTTTTTCAAGCGTGTTTAAAGCCATCTCTTCTGTAAGATGGTGGCTATTTAGAAGTAAGGTTTCTTAGAATGTTTATGCATTTACCAAAAATTGACATCACAGCAGAGATATGCAAAATTATAATTCTGGCAAAATATGTGTCTGCTTTCATGTTGAATTAAATGAGAATATTTTTTTAGTTCCTCAGAGATGAATGTGGTTTGTATCTGGTATTAAAACAACTGATGCTGTTTCTGTTTGTTTGCCCGAGGTGCAGTATACATGGCAATTCCTAAGCCTTTTCTGATTATAAAATATGTTAGCCCATGCCCTGCTCTCTGTCTGCTTGCAGCACTGTTGCAGAACTGATACTCTCTTGAGGAGGGATCTGCATGTCATTAGCATGAGCAGAGGAAATCTGTATTACAAAAGGAGTATTTGCCTTTTTGGCAAAGAATAGCATGTTAACAGAATTCTCAAAGTTCATTACTAATTGTAGTACAACAGCCAAGAATATTCTTTTCCCAAGTTGGCCATCTTTACATGGGCCTTACAGAAGATAGTAACTCTTGCACATCTGTTTTATGAGTCTTTTATTACTTAGTCTGTATGTAAAACTTAACTTGTAATTGGACAAGTATTTACCAGCCCTTACTGAAATCTAGTATGCTCTTGAAATAAAATGGTCTCCTGTCGACAACTAGTCTATTAAAAAATTGTAGTTGCTGTCAAACTGATAATGTGAACAACCTTTGATAATAGGTGGTTATGTTCTTTCTGTAGGTTTGGCAGTTTTCCACTAATGGACCAGTATTTTCATCTCCATGCATCTCAAGTTTAACTAAGCAAGAAATATTTTTTGGCTCCCATGATTGCTTTATCTACTGTTGTAACATGGAGGGTAATTTACTGTGGAAGTTTGAAGCCACCTCAAGTGTATATGGAACACCATTCGTTTTCCAAAGTGATGACTTAAAGAACAAAATTCTTTTGGCAGCAGTATCTACAGATGGCAAAGTGTGGATCCTGAATGCCAAGAGTGGAACGGCAGAAGGAGTAGATAAGCTGCCAGGAGAGGTTTTCTCTTCCCCTGTAGTATGGGGAACAAAGCTTGTTGTTGGCTGTAGAAATGATTATGTTTATTGCCTAGATTTGTATATAACAGGCAAAAAAGAACAGCTAAGATGTTAGGCTGCTTCCTTTTTATTGTTTACCTTTGTAAATTAAGAACTCACAGGTGCTCTATACCTCTCTGCCTATATTACTGTAGGCAAGAGGTGCTCTTATAGACTTCTCAGGTAGCATTTTGCACCAGGCAGCGTCCAGAGTAGGTAAAGTGATGTTCGTTGACTTGCTGTACTGATTGAAGGAGGATGGCTGCTCAGCACCCAGCCGGAAGTTTCACTGTCCCTGCCTCATTTCCCAGTTCCGCTTCATGAAAGAACATGTTTCAGATGGTTTGGATTTGAATGTTGTGCTCTGACCTGTGTAGCAAGAAAATGAAAGTCAGTAGTTTGGCTTCAAACACCTGCAGGATTGGGACAAACTGTGGTAAGGGGCCATACTCTGCACCTTGGAGTAACATGCTTGTCTCCCTGAGGGAGGAATGCATTCCTCTCGCTGAGCCCAGCCTAGCCTGTGCCCTCAGGTTCCTCCTAGCCTGTGCCTGGCTCTTCCATGCATCAGACCTGATGTTTGTCTAGTCTGACGAGGTTTCTATGCCGAGGCAAGGTAACCCAAGTTCTTTTTTGAATCTAACTTTTAACTCTGTCTCTGAAGACGTAGCCTGCATTGCATGTATCTGGTAGTAATGACCTGTTACTATAGTTTGTATAAACTGCATAGTTCATCTTTCGTGAGCCTAGGCCCTCCTGGGCTTCAATTCAGCCAAGCATATACTTAAACCCTGTTGAAGTCAGTAGGAGTTACTTCTTGTATTCTGAAGCGGAGAATACACTTAGATGTGTATATTTATTACATTTCAATGACAGGTACAGTATGAATTCCAAGATGAAGTGTGCACTGCTGAAATCAACCATTGTCAAATCATTTTTTAAGAGACTTGAATAAATGTCCTCTACAGTGTCTTTACAGAGAACTATTGATAAAGGGTTGTGTAAATTGCTTTTGGTTGTCTTTAATGCCTTAAAAGGAACTACCAGTGGTCTTAGTAATGCGAATCAAGTATTTGCAGTGACAACAGTACACTTAACTGACAGCTTCTTCCTGATGATGAGACTTCTAAAAGAACTAGAGACTATTACCTCACACTCTCTGATCAGCCACGTACTTTGAATTCTAACATCTTTAATTAAAGAAGTTGTACGGGCTATGTTGCTTCATCACGTCTGGTTCCTCCCTTTTATCGTTAGCAGAAATGCATAGGCAAGACACTTGTAGCACTGTAAAAAGTTCTGTTTATAAAGCAAACCTGAACTACACGGTTAGCAAAAGGAGACGCAGAATACGTACATCATTGACTACATAATTTTCACTGGGTTATAGTTTAATAAGAATTAAAATGACATTAGTATAATAAACAATTGCACTTTAAAACATTTGAAAAATTAAAAAAGTACACAACAAATACCCCACAGTTATACATCTTATAGTTTTTATACATTACTATATGAACATAGAGGTTAATCATATATAACCTTGTCAGAAGAAATGGTACTTTGTGTGTATAAGTTACAAAAAATTGAGACAATATACTACATAGTGGTTTGTTCGGTTCTTAAAACATTTTTGCTGTTTTAAACTCGGTAGTAATGTTTTGGTTTTATTTTTACAGATCTCCAACACTATCAGAAATTGTTGCAACAAAGCTAAAGCAAAGTAACACTTCACTTCATTGGTATTTAGTGCAAATTTTTGTTAATTTAACATGAAATGTCACTGTTGAACATGTACACTTTAGAAATGTTTCCACCAAGTACTGTACATAATACAGTTTCCATTATTACACTAGATACCTTTATGGTTGGAAAAAACCTCTGCTTTGAAGCTTTAGATTAAGAACATCCTTAATGAAAGCTCTATTCTATGTGCTATAAATGTATTGTATTGGAAAAATTGCATCCTTATGTCATGCATGATAGCACCTAATTTTGCTATGCTTTTCGGAATACCAGTATCTTTCTTTAATCCTGATTCACTTCACCTTCTCTATATTTCTGCCTGGCTCCTTCTCCCAAGAAATAATCATAAAGATGGATTTCAGGCAGTTTAGTTCTTGTAATTACGGATACATACTGCAGGCTTATAAACTCAGAAAAAATGTAAATTTAACTTAAGAAGCATTAATTCACGGTGCTAGCAGAGCAAAAATAATTATGTGCCTAATTCTTTCTTCAGATAAGCTTGCAGAGATTTGACTTTGAAGGCGTTAAATGTTGGTTTTGGTTTTTTTTCCCACCCCCCCCAGTATTTGAGAGCAGCATTGCCCCATCTCTGTATAAAACATTTTAAATACTTAGTATTAGGTTAAAATTTACTTTAGAGATTCTGGTTTTTAAATACGAAACTGAGCAAAACTGATGGCTTAAGAGACCTGAAAAAACCCCTCTTGTTGCTGCACATCTACTCAATCTAACATGTCCGTTGTGTTTGTGCTATTGTAACCATGATAGTGAACCGTTGGGGTTTTTTTTGGTGGGAAATAATGACTTGTGCTGACAAGCCCTTTTTGATTCTTGGAACGGGAGGATACGGCAGTTTTCATTCTGTTTTCTGCATAATATAAAGTGCTACTCCTCATGCTGCATACAGCAGTTTGGCTATAATACTTCCATGAAACATACGTGGTATCATTCTGTAATGATGCAATTTCTTCTCGTGAAAATGTCTCCCTTTATGATGTTGTTGGCTTAAAGGTTCCTTTGAGCCTTATGGTTATAAGAAGACAATGTTCAAGTTTGTTAAAAACTTCCGTGTAAAACAAAGTCAGGTGTGTTACAGATTTATTTACTAGGGTGACTTTTTAAAATGTAGACCTAGCTATTTCTGTGGGATGTTGAGGACAGTAAAATTTTTATTACATTGTGGACTTTATCCTTTTTTGCAAGAGGGACAGGGTGAACATTTCTATTTTAGTTACACGAAGTAATAAAGTGTTCAGTTGCCACAGCAGATACCTGAGATGGGGTAAGTAAACTTCTTTCTGAAGTGTGCCGGCTGTATTGGTCAAAGTACAGGAAGTTATCTGAAGTACCTGAAGTTGCACATGGAGTAAAATCAGGAAGAATGCAGAGTTAAAACTCTTAAGACTCTCACTGACTTAGCTCTCAGTTCTCAGTTAACTTCAGTTCTGCAAGTCTTACTCCTGTGGGAACTTACTGAGACTAACTCTACAGCTGTGTGAGCACAGGAATTGTTTCACTTATTTTACTTTCAGTCGATTGATTTAAAGTTGTAATCTGCAATCACTGTCTCTATGCATCTTAAATATGGCCAAGCACAAACAGTGATGCACTTAAATGATGAGAAGAAACACTGACTCCCTGGCTTCTTTCAGAAAAAGCTTTCTGACTTTTGTTTAAATAATGTTTTTCTGCTAAGTAGGATGAATTGTTTTCTTCCTAGCAGTGAGGGAATATAGACATAGTGTAGCAATCCAATGATGAAAGAAATTACCTCGGCATTTGGATGGTACCAATCTTTGCACTTGTCATTTGCAGGTGGAAAGATACCTCCTGAAGTTCTTCATTAGGGAAGAAGCTTTCAAATAGCAGGTAGAACTGACAGTTCATACAGTTTAACACTTAAAAAGAATTTAGGAATAAGGGAAGGAAACATGCATCTTGCCTTAATTTTCAACAGTGGAGTGTTGAAAAAACTTTCTGAGATCTCCACTTAAGTGTAGAGATCTAGAATTCCAGAACCGAATACTCACAGAATTTAAGGAGCTTCTGAACTGAAGTTCTGGCGCTTTTTATGATACTCACTAAAATTTACATCCAGTATCTGAGCATTCTTAAATTTTTGAGAGAGTCTGGCTCTGAAATTTTTTGCTATGACCTCATTTAGCTATGTGTCAAAGCAATGGAATATATGACTTGAGTAGACTTTACAGTGAGCTAGAGCAAAATGGTAATCAGTTCAGTTTTCAGTCCTTCAGTACATGCATTTTCAGTTTTGTCATGTGTAAAAAGCTGAATAAATAAAAAGCAATCAATAGTCAGCAACAGAGATGTAATTTTACAGTTTACTTTATGATCTGTGGACAGTCACTCCAGGCTTTTGCTTTCCTCTTGGCTAACGCAAGCCAGGCTGGTTCTGTTGACACAGGGTTAGCATCAGGCGTAGAGAATCTCTTGGCCACCTCCTTTGCCAGTGGGGCTGACGGAACAGAATCTGAAATTTCCACTGTTTTTGATGGGGTGGGGAGGGGAAGAGGGAAAAAAACCATTAGTTGAACCCTGTACTTTTGTTGCAGGATTCTAGAGATTTCGCTTCTTTTCTGTGAATACGTTCTGATCTAACACTTTAAATCTATTTCCAACCCTTTTAGTTAAATCCTTCTTTTTATTGCATTTGCAAAATAATCAAATTAGGAGGAGCTGGGTTTCATTTTTCAGAGGTGACTCCAAGTAATGTAACTCACAAAAACAGACAAAATGACTCTCTCTGAGATCCAGAGAAAACATTTCCAATTTGCCTGTTGTCTTCTTTACATAAACTATTTTATTTACATCTGCAATGTAGCAAACAATGGGAAATAAAGCTTTTTTTTTTTTTTCTGCAGCTGCTATACATAATGTAACCCAGCAGTATTCAGTAGGATTCAGACTGCCTCTTCAGTTTAGAGTTCTTAAATAAGCACAGAGAAGAAAGCAGTCCTAGAGTTTTCTGCCTCAGTTAACCACTTCCATGAGACTATCCTGAAGAAGAAATAAACCAGCTTTCTCCAATAGCTGTTTGTCACATTTTCTTTAAAATAGTATAGTTAAGACAAGACAAACAGCTGTCTCAGCAAGAAAAGGTGTTGAATAAGCAACTGATTTCTAACAAGCAGCTTTACAGAGCAGAACTGTAGAAGTTTATTGTAGAAGTCAGGTGGGAAGGTTGTTTAATTCAGGGACAGTGAATGTCCTTGAAGGCAGCCTGGGTAGAAATGAGTCCTATCTGAAACCTATGGAGTAACTCTAAAAATCTTAGTTACAAAATAACTCTTTACTAATCTCCTCTTA